AAAAAAAGAAGAAGAAATAAAAAGGAATCTCCAAAGAAATAAATAAAAAAAAGAACAACACTAGTAAATGGACCATATACTGGACACTTACCATCAACCAGGCATAGGGTTTTACATACACCTGCTTATTTAGTTCTCATAATGACCTGTTCCGATTTTACAGGTGACGAAACTGAGGCTCAGAGAGATTAGGTAGCTTGCCTATGATCAGACAAGAGTGGTAGGTAGTACCCAGACTCAAACCAGGGTTTGTCTGATTGCAAAGGTCTTTCCGCTTCACTCGAACTCACAGAAAAGCACTAAAAACAAAAAGCCCTCCAGGAAGTGGGTTATTCTCTGAGATTATGTTTTCAGAATACAAACCTTTGAGTCTAGTTTAGTATTGCACTTGCCAATCTTTTCACCAGTCCCACAAGGCCATTCATTATTCTGATGACTCTCATTTTATAAACCTCCTATGGAGGCTGAGAGAACTGGGCCTGGCTTTACCTCTAGGAGGCAGACTTGAATGATCATGGTTCAACTCTTGATGTGGAACTAAAAAATCAGCACAATTTCTGTTACCGTATGTGGCCTCCTTTGTGTCCAGGAAAAAACAAAATGTATTAACAAAATTTCTCCCAGAGGGGTTTGAGGCAAAGCCTTGACTGTTTATTTGAAGAAAAATGGAAACCTCCAGGAATTTGTAATCAAATAAAAACCATGAGAAAGCCTTAGCTTTGGCTCATTTGGAGGATCCTAAACTGAGCAGACAGTACAACAGCTAGTAGTGTCTTACTAGCTCATTCTGATTCTCACACTAACAAATGAAGGCTGTGAGTGGCTGTGGAGCACTGGGAGTGGTGGTGGAGGGAGGAAGGGTGCTGGCTAGGCAGGGCAGGTCATGAAATGATTCTGTGATTGGCATGGGGATTGATGGGTACACAAATTTGAATATGCTGAGTCACTGCATTGCCCACTCTGCACGAGGTGACTGGATGGTATGTGAATGCTATCGCAATAAAGCTGTTAAAATAACAACATAGGTTTAGCTTGCTTTGGCACACTTGGTATTTTATATTCCAGCAACAATTTAAAAAGTTAATTCATAATTTAATCACTGAACAACTCTCCAGCTAAATGAACACTTAGGCAAATCTTTGCTTAAATGAAGCATTTTTTTTAAAGTAAGGTGGTGGTGGTTATATACTGTGACTTCGGTTCTGACTCATAGCAACCCTGCACAGGGTTTCTGAGGCTGGAAATCTTTACAGGACCAGAAAGCTCATCTTTCTACTGCAGAAGAACTGGTAGTTTCAAACTGCTGACCTTGAGGTCGGCAAACTGACTCATAACCACTATGCTACCAGAGTTCCTCTTTTAAAGTAAGGGGGGAGGGGAGGAATTGAGGATGCAAATGGCAAAGCTATAGACAGCCAAATTCAAGTATATCACAATCATCATGGTACTGAAGGAGAAAAGGGATGCAACAGAAAACATTCATTAAGTGCTTTAGGACCTTGCCAAACAGGCATTGAGAAGGAAAAATCCAGGGGTTTGGGGAAGCTGCTCTAGCTCTATAGGTAGGCAAAGAAACACCCAGAATGCCACAGAAAGTGATGAACAATACCTGGACGAGATCCCTCCTCCCAACGAGCAAGGCAGAAGCAGCATTCTTCTGACATGTTTCCTGAATATCATTCACATTTAATCTGGGGAGAGAAAAAAAAGCACTTTTCTAGTTTAGTTTCCTACATCAATTATCCCTGGTTTAACATTTATTGTTTGTTAAAATGTGTTCTTCTGTGTTTCTGTCTGTTAGTCTCCTATCCTGTCTGACATGGGTAGAAAAGCTTTACTAGCAGGAATGCCGTGCCAGGGGGCCGGGCCTGGCCAACCAAAGCTTGCTCATCCCTTTGAAGTGAGGAGAAGATACGAAGTGTCAAATGCTACTTTTCCCGCCAGCTTTTCTGTGGTGTTCCCAAGGCTTGAGGATTGAATAAAAAAAACTGATTTAAATACATCCAACACTGACTTTGGCTTCTAACATAAAGAGTAGTGCATACACTACCAAATAAATGCTTTTCTCTCATGTGGCCAGGTACAGAAAGAAGAAGGAAAGCACAAGCTGTCCCCTGATGCCTGGTGCCCATCCCACCAACTCTTTTCAACCAAAGTTGTTGTGCTTTTTATCTGCTTTACGCATTGGGTGTGTGTGAGCCAGAATTCTAGGATGGCCTTCAAGATCCCAGCTCCTTGGCATGTACACCTTGAATAATCTCCTTCTTCTAAGTGTAGGCAGGACCAATGATGTGATTAAATCAGTATCTAATGTGATTACGTTATTAATCAGCTGGCTTTGAGTTCAATAAAATGGAGATTAGTATCCTGGGTAGGTCTAACCCAGTCCGGCAAGTCTTGAGAGAGAAAGTGAAGTTATGAGTGAGACAGTCTTCAATGGTCGTGAAGAAGACGACATTCATCAGGAGAGGTACAAGGGACTGATTCCGCTAATAACCTAACTGAGCTTGAAAAAGGAGATACACACCGGCCCTCCCCAACCAATGCCATGATTTCCACTTGGTGGAACCCTGAGCAAGGACCAGCTAACTCAGACCCAGGCTCCTGACTTGTAGGAATGGTGGGCAACATGTTTTGTTTTAAGTCACTAAGTTTGTCATGCAGTAATAGAAAATGAATATGCTTGGCTTATCTGAAAACGTTTACAGAAGAACGACTCCAATACTTAAAACAAGGCTTGATGGTCATGACTGCATTCTGAGCATCCTTAGAAAGTTACACTTACATGTACAGCTCTCCCAGTGATTTGTGAACAGGAAGAAGGCAAGCAATGTCCTGAACGATCACTTTTCCAGCGGCTTTGATGGACCGATTGCCAGAGTCCGATCCCTCGCGCTTACTTTTCCATCGCCGTGATTTCTGGAGGAGATGATAAGATATAACTGACAGGGACTCTGACAAATGGAGACCTACGGTTGCACAACACATTGTATTTGGGTCATTGGAAATTTGCGAAGACTTTACATTACACCATGCCCACAATTACATGAATCAGCATCTGTAAGAAATAAAACGATGACAGAGGAGGACATTGAGCTCTTAGTCCTAAACCCTCGCAGGAAAGCGGCACCCAGAGGAGGGCTATGTGCATTCTGCAGGTGCTCAGAAATAGGTGCCAGGAAGCAAGACTTTAAAACAAAACAGAACCAAACAAAAAAGCCCAGCAACTAAGTAAGTTAGTAAAGACCCCAAGAAACATGGGAGAAGAGCAACTTTTAAGGTTGGGTTCAGTACTAGGTTAAAAATTCTTGACTGAAACCAATAAAGATTTTTTCTTTTCAGAAAAATTTCAATAGAACTTGGTGAAAATTTAAGTCAGATACAACAGTGTGGGTTCTGCAAACACGGATCTGTGGTAGGCAGACAGAGAAACAGTAGCCCAGAGAGAAAATCCCCTGTCTTTCCTATGACTTTCATTGTTTCTAAAAGTGATCATTTTTGAGCACCAAAAATACTTGAGAAGAGGTACTCAGGTCTCGGTCAGGGATGATGAGCAGCTGCCCCGACGCCCCAGAGCTTTACCTACGGATGGTTAGAGAGGAATCCGTGTGCGTGAAATGGAAAATGTTCTGGAGAGTGAGAAGTATTAGTCTGTAACGCCATCTACAATCTCCAAAAATGACAATGAGCCAGGAAAACAATCTCCTATTCTATTTTACTGCCAGAATTTTTAAAAAGGGGGGAGGGCATTGCAGTAAGACAAATCAGGAGGAACGTGAATGAGGCAAAAGGGGCTTGTGAATGTAGAATCAGGATGCCCAGGTTGACTGGTTGTACTACCACCATGTACTGCTCTACATGATGCTGGGCAACTGGTCTGCTGTATGTTTATTCTCATGCCACATTCTCTCTTCTCACCTCTGTGTCTAGCTGTGACAACCTCTGCTGTACCAATCTCACAAGGTTAATCAGGGCACAATGGAAAGATGTGGGTGGACAGGGTTGTATGAACCGGGAAGTGCAAAGCCTCATCTTTCTCCCGTGGAACAGCTGGTAGTTTCGAACTGCGGACCTTGCAGTTCACAGCCCGATTTATAACCACTATGCTACCAGAGCTCCTTTAACCACCACCAATTATCATGAATGTCTACAAATTCTCAAGATTTTACATTAGATCGCTATTACTTTGATGGTGGTTATGTGCCGTGGAGTCGGTTTCGACTCACAGCAACCGTGCATAGGGTTTCCGAGGCTGTGAATCTTTATGGGAACAGAAAGCCTCATTGTTCTCCCACAGAACAGCTGGTAGTTTCTAACTGCTGACCTTGAGGTTAGCTGCCCTACTCATAACCACTAAATTACCAAAAATAACATACAAATAAGTTCATTTTCTACAAATGATTTCTATACAATCCCTCTTCCCTGAATTAGTCATGGTCTAATCAAACTTCAGGTTCTTTCTGACCACTAACGTCCATTGAATCCCCAAAGTGGTTCAGTGAATGCAACCTCCTTTAGGTTTATTATAAGTTGTAGAATCAATCTAACACAGGAACAACTGTTTAACCACAGGAACGATTGTGAGGAAGGGGCAGGACCTGGCAGTGTTTTGTTCAGTTGTACACAGAATCCCTAAGACTAGGAACCGACTTGATGGCACCTACCACAACAACATGGAACCATCCTATCTCTGCAAAGCTGGATTTCGTTCCTGGAAGGCAGGTAAATGCAGCCGCAGCTTAGGTGAAACGTCTGTGAACTGGTGATCACGATTTGTAAATACTTGTGCTACATTATCAGTCTGGAACTGTAGCCCATTTGATCTTCAGAGCCAGTTCAGTTACAATTTACTGTTTATCCAAGCACAAGTCATTATTCCACACTACAATTTGGAGTAGCCATGCAGTTCTCTGCTGGTCCTGGTAACTTTCTGAAGAATTATGTGCATATTCATAAAAAGGTCATCCTTCTAGTCATCAGACATATTGGCATGGATGTCAGTGAGGGGAATGCATGTTAAAAAGCAAACAATCTGTCAGAGACGGCTGGAGCCAGGCAATGTTAGCTGATCACGATATAGGTAGTCACACGTGCAATGAACACATTACATAACGGCAACATACTTTAGGAAGAGCAATTTAGAGTATGTCTAACCTGCAGTGACAGTGACCAGCAAGGTGTGGCTTGCTTCAGTAAGAGAGGTGTGGACCCTAATCTCACTGTGATTTTCATTAGGTCCCCAGGGAACGACACACCCACAGTCCTAAATTTAATTGTTCATTTCAAAACAGACTGAGAGCATTGAATTTAAAAAACAAAACAAAACTCACAGCTAAAAAGATTCCACCTGGAAGGAAATCAAAGCTTTTTCAAAAGCTACTCTGATCTCTCTAGCTGGGTCTTTGGGCTGGTTGGGCAGTTTGGAAACACTGTTTCAAAAAAGTTCTCTTTGGTGTCAAGAGAAAATGAAAAGCACCTGAGTAAGTGAGGGATTGGCTGTAGCTCCTTTCATTACACAGCTGAGATCAAAGAAAGCCTTTAGGCTTGTTGTTGTTATGTGCCGTCGAGTCGGTTCTGACCCATACGGACCCTGTACAGGGTTTCCGAGGCTGTAAATCTTTATGGGAGGAGAAAGCCTCATCTTTCACCCACTGAGCGGCTGGTAGTTTCGAACTTCTGACCTTAAGGTTTGTAGCCTGATTAGTAACCACTATGCTACCAGAGCTCCTTTATGCTTAAAGGAGCTCAATTTCTTGATTTTAATAAAAATGTTTTAATAATTACATTTAGGCTCATGTACCACAAATGGCTCATTGGCAAGTGGGCTAGTCCATCTGAGAACTTGTAAATGACAGGAGTCCAATGGTAGAACACGTTTGAGTTAGGGTGTGAAGATGTGTCTGTTACTGGTAACAACGACATCGGCAGCCATTTAGGTCACCTGACCCTTGGAACTATGATGTGAACATAGGCTCGTCAGACTGCAAAACCTATTAGTTGTTAACTTGTCTTAAATGTGTGATTTCAGATTAAAAAGGGGGGAAAAATTAAGTCCTGACTAAGCTCTCTGTTAATAAGTAAAGTAGTATGGTTCAGTTTAAATAGACCCATTTCTGTACATAAAATTAATGTTTGATTCTAGTGATGCCTCCCCCAAACTGCCCTTTAAAAGTGAGATGACCCACTTTAAAAGTCACTTCTCCGCCAAGCTTTGGCGCTGCGTTCTGCTAACGTGGAGGGTCATGCAACTTCCCTGCCACAGCCACAAAGCTTTCCCTGTGCACACCGAAGTCAGACCAGGATGCTGCCTCTCAGGCTCAAAGTCTGCACCCACACTGTGTGGCATTCTCCTTTCTACACTGTTAGGACTAGGAGTATTCAAATGTAAGACAATTCAAAGTCCCAGGAAGTTAGAGCACCCAATAGAAACAGACCAACATGAACTGCCAATGAATGCTTGCCCATGGTTATATGGACAGTGGTCTTCGAGAACTTTCTGCACTTATCCTTCAGTGAATTATGGAAGTCAGAGCCTACATTTTCTGAAATTCCTAGTCAACTTCTTAACATATCAGGCTCCTAAGTGTTTCTCTGTATGATTTGTACTGAATGGACCCTCACGAAGCTGCCAATAATAGGAGAGTCCCCAAAATAGACTTACCCAAATGACAGCTGTCACTAAGAATTAAGCTATAAAAACAATTATGGAACTGTTCTATAATCCAGCAATGGATAACTGTCAACTATTACCAAAAATCTTTAAGTGATCACAAAATCACTTTTTAATTGGCTGTTGTTTAGGGGGTTTTAAGTATGAAATCTTTCCCCTTCAGACCACAGGGGTGACTGTAATCTCATCCAGTGGCCAGTTATTCTGGGCATTCATGTAAAATAAAGCTGCATCTCACCAGCTCTCACAGCAGATCTGAGGTGGGGCCTTAGGTCCTTGCTGCTCCCTAACAAATGAATGGGACACACTCTCAGTGTGTTTTCTGCAGTGTTCTGGCAAGAAACAGAGCTTGTATTCCACCCACACCTAGACTGAGACTGCCTCCTCCCTCCTCTTACTTCTTTTTGTTGGTGATTTTAGGAGTTTCTCTTGTCTGTTTAACAGTCAGGTAACAATATACAGATTTTCCACTGGACTCTCTGGGCCCTGGAAACAATGGCACTCTAGACTAAGAGGGGCAGTTCATCTGTCTAGTACTAGGGTCGAAAAGCTCGCTAGAGACCCTGCATTGCTCCAGTCCCACTCTTGTGTGAGGTAAAATTGGTCTTCTGAGGGACAGAGGGCTCTGCTTTTCTTTGAGGTCATTTTAATGCCTGTCAATAGGAAACGCCCCTTCCCCACAGGATTCATGAGAAAGGACGGAGGGATGAGAAACAAAGCAAGACAAACAAATTGTTATGGGACAAGCACCAGAAAAAGCTTCTCTGAATACACCAAGAAGGTGCTCGTGAAATATGGGAAAAGAGGCGGAAGACGAAAGGAGTGGAGTTGGGGGGGGGGGGGATGGTGAGGAAGCAGAGGTGCAAATAGCACTAAATGACAACCAACAGCCAGCTGGCGACTGTACCACCAGTTACTGCTACAATCGGAGGCAACATCGATGCCAATAAATGGGTTAAATGTAAAAGGAGCCCAAGAATAAGCCACCAACTGCTTCGCAGCAACCCCTTTAACAATGCAGAGTCAGCAGAATGGGCAGCGAATCAACAAGGATTCCTACTGAAATAGCAGCGGGAGCAGGGACTAGTGGACATTCAGTGGACATTCAGCAGTCGGTCAGTTGGCTGGGAAAGTGGCTTCGTCCATGGCTCCAACTGCAAGTTGGCAGTAGGAGTACTTGCTAAGCTAGTCTAGTCTGGGCTATGCTTTCCTGTGAAGGCTAAGGGCCTGCTTCCCTAAGTAGACTTCATACTCGAAGGAATTTACACAAGAGCCTCAAGGCTGGCCTTACACAGCATG